CTCCACGCTGTCAGCCTGGAGCCCAACTCGGGGCTCGAACTCATGAAACCACAAGATCATGACCTGAGCTGAAATCAAGAGTCAGATGCTTAACAGATGCTTAACCGACTGAGCCACCCAGGCACCCGTCCCCTTCCACATTCCTTAACTAAAGGGCACTCATCTTGTGGATTCCTCTATTTCTTCACTCCCCTTTCCTTCCTCAGAAGTCCTATGGGGACAGGACCCCCTGCCTTACATCGTTCCCACAATCTGAACTTACCCCTCCACCTGAATTGTATAAAACCCCAGAGACAGGAGCCAAATCTTAAAACTTTCCTATCAACCAAGGTACCTAGAGTCAGGCCCCAGCACTTGAGATGCCCCCCATCTCTATGCACCTCAGCCCCCCAAAGGAGAAATTCCCAGCCATAGACAGATGTGGCCCAGCAGGGCAAGGTGACACCACACATGGGGAAGAGAACAGGCTTCAGCTGGGTACACCAGAGTCTGTACCCTAGCTTTACGCTTGACTTAGGGAAGTGGTTTCACCTCTCCAAATCTCAGTTTCTTCATCTGTACAATGCAGATACCATCTACCTCCAGGATAAAGAGCTCACTTTATGCCCGGCATGTAGGAGAGGCTCAACAAAATACTGGTTCCCTTAGGGCTCCTGTAATCACAGCATTCACCTGCACAAAAACCTCCCTATCAGGTACCATGAGCCATTTATTTATAAGGTTGCCTAGTGAGTCTGGATTGGATCCAAGTCAGTCTGGAGCTGGGAATGCAGATGAGTCAACCTTAGGTAGTCACTGGATTCTTTAGTGTTCCTTCCTCTTCCCCAGGGAGGGAATGACCAAGGTGGAAGGCACCATGGAGACCAGCTAGTTCAACATCCTCATTTTGCAGATGAGAAAACTGAGTTTCAGAATAGGAAGGTGACAGAATAAGCTGATGGCACACTCAGGATTCTTTAGGGGACAGTAGGGACAGAGACACACAGTTACTTCTCCAAAGCCTTACAACTCCTGTGTCCCAGGCTGGCACTGGAGACCAATCCTTCCATGCCACTTACTGGAGCCAGTCTCATGGCCATAAGGTGCAACATTCAGGAAAGAGTTTGGGTACAGACAAGGATTCAGGCACCAGTTGCCTACTGATGCCAAGATACAAAGATTAATCAAAGAACACACGGCCTGCCTACTCCACACGTTTAGTACAATAATTCAACACACACACACACACACACACAAATGTGCTCAAGTATTTGAAGAAAACATAAGGGGTGGTTCACACAATCCCAGGCTGCTAGAAGGCACCAAACTTGTTTACCTGGGCCCTTCTCCTTCCATACACTTAACTCTTTCTCCAGAAGTGTCCAGACAACCCAAAGGGTTATACCCCACTCCCATCCTGAAACATGGAAAGCACTGCAATCCTTTTAAAACGGTCATCTTTAGGGGCACCTGGATGGCTCAGTTGGTTAAGCGTCTGACTTTGGCTCAGGTCATATCTCCCATGTCGGGCTCTGTGCTGACAGCTGGGAGGCTGGAGCCTGCTTCAGATTCTGTGTCTCCCTCTCTCTCTGCTCCTCCCCGACTCACACTCTGCCTCTCTCTCACAAAAATAAACATTATTAACAAACAAACAAATACTCATCTTTATGGCAAGTACCAGCAGACAGGGCTGGACCATAGTCACATCCTTAGCACAGGTGGAAGGTATGTCTGGAACAGTGTAGAGAAGATATTAGCGGAGAAATGGAAACAGTATGGAGAATCTTTAGAAGTCAGTGAAAGGGGTGCCTGGGTGGCTCAGTCGGTTAAGCGTCCGACTTCGGCTCAGGTCATGATCTCATGGTCCGTGAGTTCGAGCCCCGCGTCCGGCTCTGTGTTGACAGCTCAGAGTCTGGAGCCTGTTTTGGATTCTGGGTCTCCCTCTCTCTCTGACCCTTCCCTGTTCATGCTCTCTGTCTCAAAAATAAATAAACGTTAAAAAAAAAAATTAAAAAAAAAAAAAAAGAAGAAGTCAGTGAAAGAAGAAACATGCTGAGGAACAGCTTTTCTGGTGGAACCTGCTGGAAGCACCAGATTCAACATGGATTAAAGAACTGGCTAGAGAGATGTGCCCATACAGGTCACTGCAGACATGGCCATGCAGCCTTCATGATGGTCAGCAACAGACTCACCCACACTATAGATCCCAGCTAGCATCAGGTTTGCCTAGAGGAACCAAATGGCCTTTGGCACAACTGTGTCCCCCATTGAGTAGGTTTCGGACACTGGGCTGCTCTTCCTTTAGGCAAGTCCTGCTGCCTGTTCTTCCCCCAAGTTGCTGGGAGTGAAGGGGTTGGGGAGGTCTAGCCCCATCTGGTAAGTCCACACCACAGGCTATCACCGGTGGACAGACTTCCTGGGGTTGTCTAGGTCTTTGCTGTGTCTTCCTGGGCCTTTTTCCCACTAGCTAGTGCTGGACCATATATAGTGCCATGGAGGTGGGGGGCACTGCTCACCTCTTCCACAGGAGGCCCCTGAGCTCGCTCCCAGTGCTCCAGGGGAGAGGAAGAGAGGGCAGGACCTGGGGAACTTCCCTCACCCCAAGAATTACTCTTGAGGTCCCTGTGGAGGGAATGTTCCCTAGAAGAAGCCTCTCAACTCACTTTCTAACCCCAGCGTGATAGAGCACCCAGGCTCCCCAGACTCCCTGGCTCTTCTCCTCGGGCCTCATGCTGGAAATCTCTTTCTCCCTCTGTAGTCCTCCCCAGCCCAGAGTAAGATCACCTTCTAAAGAGAAGTAGGAAGAAGGACTCTGACAAACTCATTCTTATCTGTGTGTCTGTTGTTTTTCCTTTAGACAAACTGACATTTGTTTATAGATGTTCAGAAAAATGAAATCAAAAAGAAGGCTTTAAGAGCAAGGTGACAGTGACACCCACTGTATCAGCCTTATATATTTTTAACATTTACTTTATTTTAAAAAGTTATGGTTTCTGAGAAAGACAGAAAGAGACAGAGAGAGAGAGAGAATGTGAGTGGAGGAGAGACCGAGAGAGAGGGAGAGAGAAATCCCAAGCAGGCTCTGTGCTGTCAGCATAGAACCTAATGTGGGGCTCTCACTCATGAACCGTGAGATCATGACCTGAGTGGAGGAAACCAGTAGTCAGATGCTTAAATGACTGAGCCACCCAGACATCCCTTATTTATTTTATTTTATAAAGAGAGTGCAAGCAGAGGAGGGGCAGATGAGAGAGGAGGGGGGAGGAGAGAGGGAGAGGGAGAGAGAGAGAAGAGAAGACATGAGAAGAGAAGAGAAGAATCTTAAGCAGGCTCCACATCCAGTGCGAAGTCCAATGTGGGCCTCATTCTCATGACTATGAGATCATGACCCAAGCCAAAATCAAGAGTTGGATGCTTAACTGACTGAGACACCCAGGCACCCCAGCATCAGCGTTACAGCACAAGTTCAGGCTTCTGTGGGAAAGGCTTCTAGGCAGGACTCATCCTCTATCAGTCCTGGTGGACATCTCTCCTGGTCCTTAACACTCATACAGGTAGACCTGTCATTCAGTGCCCCCAAGCCAGGCCAGCTCTCTAGTCAGTGGCTGCTCAGAGGGCTCCCTCCTCCCCAGGGCACACAGGGGACCCAGCTCACCTAGAGGTCCTGCAAGAATTACAGGAAGGGGGCTGCTGGGCTGCTGGGAGAAGGGGGTGGGTAACCTACACAGAGGAAAGCAGCCAAAAGCTTCCATGTGGCACAAGACTGGGGCGGCAGTCAGTGGGGGCCCTCCTCCAATAAAAGAGGACCCTGTGTTCAGACTGGGGCCTGGCCACTCTGCCCTCACAAGTGTGTGCCCTCTTCTGCAATGGGAGGGACAGTCCTGATGCCAAGGGCCCTGTAGCTCCAACTCGCCCCAACTTTTTGACACAAGACTCCCTTCACACTGAGCATTAAACATACAACTTCACAGTTAAGGGCGGCAGCAGGGTATTGTGACTGAGAGGACAGGTCCATAAGCACCAGATTTTGTTATGAGACAGAAAGGGTAAACACTGCTTTCAAAAACAGTGGAATGCTAATAGCTATTAAACCCTCTTATCCTTTAACTCTGAAGGACAAGCACAGCCTTCTTCAAAACCCCAGACTTAATCATTGCCAAGACCACACCCTGGACTTCAGGGACCACCCAGCCAGAGG